CAGCTCACCCTTCTGTGAAATATGGAAAATGATACCTGTCAGGCTCAGGAGTCTTATAGAGCAAAATTATTCTAAAGAGCATATAATAATTCAGAGTGATTATTTTGATTGACTTCATCTACTTACCAGCTTGCAAAACACCTGCAGTTTCACACATGTAGTAAGTGAATGTAGTAACAGTATTTTATTCTCTGCACCAAGTCAGGAAATTCAAGCTGTGTCACTTGAATATAAATGACAGTCAATGCTCCACGCATCATGTTTTACGGGGGCTGACAAGCCCTTGTGAGCTATCTTCCCTCTGTAAACCCCAGAGTACAAAACATATCTCACATGGTGTATCTGTCACGTGGCCATGTGACCACGTATGCATGTTTGTACACATGCATTTTTATTGCCTTCAGGGAAAATTCTTTGGTATTTGCTCTCCCATTTTTTTTCTGGCTAAACAAAACTTCCACCTGCTCAGCTGTTCCTGTGGAGAGATTGCAGAAAGCAAATAAATTTAAAATTTCTGTTATTCTTGAAAAATTTGACGTACTTGCACATCTGAATCAGGTAACATAAACTTCTTACCACACATGCAATGTTTTCTATCTGTATCTTAAGCAGTAACTCTTCAGAGAGAGCAAGAGTAAGTATGCTGAGTTTATGTACTCTGTGCTTCTCTTCGGAGTAAAAAAAAAAAAAAGATTGAGTGTAAAAATCCAGTTCAGGGAAGTTCTGGATAACAGCCAGAGAGGCTTTTCCAGTGCCTGCCATCAGAGCTAGGTAGAAAAAACTCTAGTGCTTCATAATAGTAGCTGGAGTATTTTAATTAATTGTTCTGGAAGAGTAAGGCCTTAGCCTTAACAATACAGTGAGAAGAGGCGAGCAGCACAGACCTGCAGGTCTTAACATAGTTAAGGTTTTGAGCAGAGGCTGGACAAAGACATTGGTTATGAATTCGGTTGAACAAAAATGTGGTAAAAGGGAATGAAGCTGCTTTTTCTGGTTTATGTTATTGAGCAGACATTGAGTACAGGCCAATGTTGCCAACTTCATGTGTCCTCTAATGCTGTACACTGCTTTTTCTTTCTTCCTTTTTTTTTTTTTTAAAAAAAAAAAGACTGTCATTACCTGACAGTCTTATTTTGTGTGAGAAGATATAT